TTAGTTAGCTGACATAACTGATCATCTTGTGGGACTCCAATGCATGTCCATCCAAGTGGTGTAAGCCTGGCAATTGGCAGGTCTGCGTAATCAAGACCGATGAGAATATCCACAAAAGGCTTCGATGCACTAACTGGAAACTCAATATCCTTAAAATGACTCCACTTTGTCGCATACTGATTCCAATTTACAACCTTCATGTCACCAGTTACTTTTTCGGTTGTGTAAGCTTCCATAGTAGTGTTGACTTTTCCATCCAGACTTTCCAATTTGAACTCAACAGGCATCGTCAGAAATGTTTCTATTTGACCATTCAAGACATTCACGTTGGTCCTCTGAAGATTTCCGTGAAGTCCTAACTCAGCGGCTACATCAGCATTTATATACGTCTTCGTACTAGCATCATCTAATAAAGCATTCACTGTCATTCTACGATTCCCATTTGTTAGTATAACTGAAACTGTCCGCATTGCAAGGAACTCTTGTCGTTGTGATATCTTCGAATCGACTCGCGTAGTAAGGGATCTCTCATTAACCTCTGTAGAATGCTCCCCTTCCGTGGTAGGAAGAGTTTGAGTGGCTTGAGAAATAGATCTCCCATTTCTTGGTAATCTTTCGCAATTTTCGCGTTGATTGCTCTCCATTTCTTTCCTTTCAGTTCGAGGATATCCATGTAACAATCTGTTATGAGTTTTTGTACAACCATCGACACCGCAACATCTACTTTTCGTACATTTACTGCCAGTATGACCTTCGCTCAAGCATCGATAACAAAGACGCGATTGTTTGGCAAAATTCCATCTTTCTGAGACCGTCATTTGCTTGAACTGATTGCATCTCCAGATAGGGTGTTGATTATTACACAAATTGCATTTGGATACACCGTCTCTATTAAAGTATGTTCGGCCACCGTCTCTAAACTTTGATCTTTTCTCGTTTCCCGGATGTAAACCTTTGACAGTTTCTGCCGCTATTGTCTGAAATTCAGACTCTTGAATTACCCAGTCGCGAAGTGACAGTACAGATTCCGCTTTTTTCTTCTCGAATATCCACCGGTGATATTCACAAATCATTGGCTCCGTCAACTTTTTCTGTAGCTTCAAATATAAGGACCCGTTTCCAAGTTCCTCATGTCTACCGTTTTCTTGTAGGTTAATAACAGCTACATCCAAAATATCGACAAATTCCTCCAAGTCTTTTGAATTCCCTGGACGAATGGCTTTAAAATTTTCGAGCTCTTCTAAGTAAAGAGCAACTTGTCGCCGCGTACCGCCGTACTTTCTGTCCAATCTTTCTTTGGCAGCTTCATAAGCGATTGCAGAATGCCCCAATTTCTCAACTGTTTTTAATGCTTCCCCAGATAAATACTGTCGAAGTTGTAAGAGTTTATACTCTGGGCTTGCTGGGGCTTGATCGATGCACGCTATGAAAGTCGCTTTCCAGTTCTCGTAGTTACGTTTGTCGCCTGAAAATACTGGTATAGATACTCGTTTTAATTGTCTCCACAAATCGTTGCCAATCGTGTTCTGTTCAACTTTTGTTGTCGATTTCTGATACGGTGTGCTTTGAAATTGTTTAACGAAACGAACTGGTTCTTGGTGTAACATAGTCTTTTGTTGCTCATCTACTAATTGGCCTCCACGGGCATTGCTTGACTCGGTTTTGAACTCGACTTGATTTTTCTCGAATTCTCTCGTACTGCTCTGTGATATACAACTCGATGAATCATCCAAGGTATTATCAAAGTAAACTTGAACGCGATTCTGTGCATCTGTAAATTCCATTTCAAGTTTTTCTATCTCTTCTGTAGTTTTTCTTAAAGCGCTTCTGTCCGTTCTGCTCGAATACTCGCATGCTAATGCGTCAATTGCTGCAAAAGCTTGCTCCTGTTTCTCGTTTAACTTTCGTCGTATTTCCCGAATCTGCTTTCGATTTGGGCACTCTTCTTCGTCGAGCAAGTTCAGTAATTGATTTCTTGCCTTTGTAAAAGCTGTCTTTGCTCTTGCTTTTTGATATTTTAACTCTTGAAGGCGATTCTCCGCTTCATCAGGTTCATCTGGTTCGACAAATAATTGTTGTAAACCCGCTGTTAACTCTGTAGTTGGCTGTTCGAATTCATTATCGCTAGCCATTTTCGATTAAATTACACGATGTGAACCATTTCCTGCTACCAATTTGGTTCGAAGTCGAAATTATCTTTTAACTTTATTTATCTATATACGAATCGTATCAATCTTAATTTTTACATACACTGACTGTTTACTAGTTTGCCTGGCTATATATAAGTCCAATCTACATATTTATGCACTATTAATTGTCATTGTTCACGCGATAATAAGGTTGCGAAATAAGGTCAAGGTTACTTCTGAACAATAGCACTTAACGGGGCAAGAAACTACTATATCCCTAATCTTAACGGGGCAAGAAACTACTATATCCCTAATTGTTGGTACATGGTCACAATATACAAGACCGCTACTGCATGCCGCCTGTTGGGCGGTACCCGTAATCGTATACAGCTATTTCAATGGACCATTCCCCAATTAACCAAAATTTTGGTCTCAACAAGTCTAGACAAAATACCATTATAGCATGAAAGAGCATCACAAAATGAGTAATATTCCAAAGTTTCGTTGCGAAATGTTGTAAAATGCGGATAATATAGCCTTGCAAAATTTGCAATTTTCAGTCATTTTAGATGACAAACGAGAAATGGTTACCACTTTTCCAAAATTTTGATATTAACTAGGCTAAACAAAAATTCCATCACAGCTTGAAGAGCATCACAAAATTTGTAATATTCCAACGTTTCGTGGCAAAATGTTGTAAAATGCGGATAATATAGCCTTGCGAAATTTGTGATTTTCAGTCATTTTAGATTACGCAAAAAAGTGGTAACCGTTTCCCGTTTGTAATCTAAAATGACTGAAAATTGCAAACTTCGCAAGGCTATATTCGCATTTTACAACATTTTGCAACGAAACTTTGGAATATTACCGTGATGCTCTTTCAAGCTGTGATGAAATTTTTGTCTAGAATTGTTGAGTTCAAAATATTGGTTAATTAGGGGAATGATCCATTAAGGTTGTCCCCGAACAAAGCGGAAAAGTCGAAAACGAGCTCGAAAGGCTGCTGGGAATCGCTATGAAAATTCATTAATTTTTTAGCAATTCCCAGCAGCCTTTCGCGCTCGTATTCGACATTTCCGCTTTTCTCGTGGACAACCTTAATTGAAATGGCTGTATATGCTGCACTGCAGTTGCATTTCGCTTTCTGCGAGTTGGGATGAAAACAATTCATGATCAACTACACGAATCTGTTGTTTTTTCTTAGTCTCCCATAGATGCAAGAAAACCTCTGGCTGAGAATATTGTTGTTATTGGTGGAACTTCGATGGCTCAAGGTTTCAAGTGAGTCAACATAATAAGTATGGTAATGAAGAAATCAATCGTTCTCTAATTGAACGCTTGCCCGCTTAATTTGGACATGTTATTGTGCCTTGAACGTCATTATAAGATCTATTGTGGCTAATGGTTGCTAATCATAATTAACTTACCTTGGTCGCAAGTGGTAAGAAAATGTTAATTGTTTAGGTGACTATATGTTACTGTTTCCACTTCAGACATCGTCTACTTCAAGAACTTCACTCTCGACTCCAGTCTTCAAAATATCAAAAACGATTGAGTATACAAACTCTTAAACTTCATGAGCCTCCTGTCAAGGCTAACTGTGTCGCTTGGCTGGGAAGTAAGTGTACAAACATATTTTTCTTTCAGAAATTATGAAGTACAGAAAGTTTCATTATAAGCACTATCAGTTTCGATGAAAAGATGAGAGGTTTTTAACAGGCAGTTTTTTCACACGTCAAACTAAATCACAACGGAGCAATTTGACAGGTTTTGAGGGCTAGCTATTAGTTGGACGTACCGCAGTAGAGAGTTTAACATTCATACAGCGGACATCAATAAAAATTGCCAAACAAATTAAGTGACGCTAGCGGGTATATTAACCTCTCTATAATGGTGGATTAGGGAGATTAACTTACTTTTCTTGTGACAACAGGCTCAATTTTTGGATCACTAGAAGTGTTGGCTGACCGTTCTGTGTTAAGACTGGATTACATCCGGGATCCTTCAATTCCTGACTGGTGCTCGTTCTCCTCACGAACCAATGAGAATGGAGATGTTTTAGCTAGTGAACAGAAACCTTTAACACCTAAGAAATTAAATTTTGGAAGCCCTAGCAAATCGTAGATTAATAGATTTAAAACACTAATAATAATTGTAATCAGCCAAAACTGCGCGCCTATATAGCTCCTGCTTAAAGCCCGTTCTCCACTAGGCGAATTTATTCGCGCGAACAGATAAAAAGTAGGAAGCGATCCTACTTTTTCGCCGCGAATTTTTTCGCCGACCAATCACGTTGCCGGATTTCGGTTTTCGCTTCGCGTCGCGCGAACAAATTCGCCTAGTGGAGAACGGGCTTAACACACGTGAAAACGCGCATGTTGTTACAGATCCGGCCAACAAGTTGCATGTGTAACAAGGTTGTGTTGGTGTAATGTACTCAGGTGAATAAGATGCTTGTGTGATGTTACTCTGAGTGTATATCCACACCGGGCAGGCTTGAAAAATATGCCTGGCCACGGTGGGATTCGAACCTACGACCTTTGGAATCTACGACATTTGGCAGGTTCGAATCCCACCGTGGCCAGGCATATTTTTCAAGCCTGCCCGGTGTGGATATACACTCAGAGTAACATCACACAAGCATCTGTAACAAGGTTGTTGTGAAGCCGATTTCAGGATTTGTTCGTACTGTTTGTTCCCAGTTGTTGTGACAAGTTTGGAACAAATTGTTATCACCTTGTTACAAGGTCGATGACGGTAACAGACTTGCTACAAGTTATTTCAACAAGACTAATATAGGCTGAGCTTGTTGTCAGGGACGCCGGAACGATCATAAGGCAAAGGGGGGCGGACCCACAGCAAGGGCACTTCTCTAAAGCAAAACTTCAAAATCTTCCCAAAATTTTTTTTTAATCCAAAAATTTCGGCGACCTCCCCCCCCCCGTCGCCAAAAAAATTTCGGTCAGTGTACCATTTTAGGGGTCAAAAAAATTTTCCGGACTTACCACAAGTGAAATATAAACTGTTTTTGTCTGAATCTCATAATTTTCGTACAAGAACCATCGTTCTAAATGTGATTTATTAAGTATTTTTTTATAACTAAAAGGGCACTTCTGCCCCCCCCCCCTGCCCCCCCTACCAAAAGGCAAGGGGGGCAGCCGCCACCCAGTTCCGGCGTCCCTGCTTGTTGTCATTAACTTGTTAACAACTTTTTACGTGCAGAGGATATCACTTGTTGGAACAGCTTGTTGCTAGTCTGTTGGCTCACAGCATCAACCTTGTTACAAGATGATCCCAACTTGTTCAATACTTGTCAACAACTGGGAACAAGCAATGCGAACACTTATCTGTCTGTCTATCTTGTTGACAAGCTGAGAGATTTTACTCGTACGTGTAGGTATTGCATGGAACTAAGCTAACCAAGCATTTAAATTATAGATGCAAGTGAATTGGGTGGCAACGTTTATAAACACGTATTAATTAGTGGAGACCTCTACACAGATATGGTGGTGTATAAATTAAATATGTTTATTAAACTAACTATATAAAGTATTTTTTGGTATGACTATTAATTTTATTTAAATTTTGCAATCAGAAGAACCTTAGCAAATCATTATAACACGAAGTTCTCTCTATTGTCCAAACCGCTGGCTCTTTGTACCGCTATTTCAAAATTCTTAGAATTCAAAATGTCGCAAGGAACAAGCGCTGGATTTGATGGTCATATTACTATTTTTTCACCTGAAGGGCGACTTTATCAAGTTGGTAAGTGCTTCATTATGTGCTTGACTACGTTACGAACATGTTCGGTAAAGTTTTGTAGTTGTTTTTTGGCAGAATGTGCGTTTAAAGCTATTAATCATTTAATCAAGGGGGTGTTACAAGTGAAGTGTTGGGGCAGTGAACTGAATCTATTTAGCTGGAACGATAACATTCAGTCATTTGGCAGTTAAAATGTGAAGCCTCGTGTGAGCAATGCGTCAGCCCTCCACGCCATATAGTACGTCAGTTTCAGTCTCTTTATACGCCATCACCGCGCGGTCCATCGCCACGCCATATAGTATGTCAGTCCCCTTATACGCCATCACCGTGCGGTCTATCATGTGCGTCAAGTGACGTTGGCATTGGCTTCACGTTTCTCCCACATGTTATCGTTCCAGATAAAAGATATGGAGTTCACTGTGTTGGGGTCACCTGTCACTGGTTGGGGTTGGGGGAACTGACTCAGCAGTTTTAGTGACACAGAACAAATTGCTGGTAATATATTGTCCAGTTTATTTTCTTTTTTTGCAAAGATATGTTCTGGTGTTGGGGATGGCACATGAGCTCAACATATAACTGGAATATTAACAAGTTGGGAGCTTTCTCCAAATAGTTTTTAGAGAGCTTGAGCAATCGACATTTTTGGCCACATGGATGTCACACATGCATAATTTAGCTGTCAATAATGACGTCAACAGTTCTTACTTCAAATCAAGAGTGGCAGTCAATCTAGGTTCCTTTTTTTATTTCAAACAAGTGCAAGTCTGTTTGTGCATGTTATTTATATTATTGCAGGGAGAAAAAGTGTTATTCAATGTCTATCGTCTTTTGCTTCTGATTCCATTTGGGCAATAATGACAGAAGTGACTTGCATTCTATATACAGGCCACTCTCATTCCTCTATAAAAATCTAAAAATTTGTGATGAGACATTTTACATGTGATGGTTTTTAATTGTGATGGCATGGCAAGACCTCTTACTGTAGTTTCCAAATTTGCTTGATGCATCAACACTAACACATTTATTTGGTTTAATTGGTAATAAAGTTTGAATTCATAATTTGATAGCATTTTTTGTTTGTATCAGCCCCTTTCACTTTTGAAGACCTATGGTACCTCAAAGTAGATACATACGGAGGTGGAACTGGCCGTTGTAAACACTGTGGAAACTTACAAATTCATGTACCCACTTTTTTTCAGGCAACCGGGCAAAAAATGATCAACTGCATGTGTTCGGCAAGTTCCGCAAGCAGTTAAAGCGAGTTGCCATCCAATGGGATGCATGCATGCATCTAGTAACTTGCCGAGCATGCACACAAAAAAGTGGGTACACTAGTTATAACTCTGTATATGTATCTACTCTGCAATGGTACCTTTGTGGGAGAGGGAGGGACCTTGCTGACTCTGAGGTAGCTGCTTGCATGCCCCCCCCCCCCCAAAAAAAAAAATGTTTGCAGCTTTTCTTTGGGTATATGGGCAATTAGGGGATGGATGTTGCAAGCAATGTTTCCACTTTCAATATTTAAATTACCTCATTTGAAATTTTGAGGAAATTGTGAATCCCTGCAGTATGCTGTACTATGCTCATTGCTTATGTCAAGTTGCAGTGAGCTTGTTATGGAGCTGCCAACTGGAAATATAATTTGCAAGCTCTCTCCTTGATGACTTGAAGTGTCTGGCAGCAGGCAAAGTAACATATGACTATATATGGTTTTAATAATAAATTAGTTCCAGTTCCGGATGAAACTTTGAAAATTGGTTCTGGTGCACCCCTAGTAGATATGTTGTGTAAACATTTGGCAGATATACCAGTATCTCAAGTTTATACCCAGGTTGCAGCCTGAATGAGACCATTAGGGTGTAGTAAGTAAAATTCTGGAACTGCTTTTGCATACAGTGTAACTGGTATAAATTTGGACTTGTAGTTTTCCTAAGTCTATGCCATAGTTGCCATCTGCGATTAATTGTTACTTGCATGACTCGTGTGCATAGGAATTCGCATGGTAGACAATACAATGATTTTGAAGTACCATACAGTAGTGTACTGTCAAGGGTGGGTAGTAGCGAAGTAGTTGTAGTTCGCTACTGTAGCGAACTACAATTTTCAAGTAGCCAGTAGTTTTTGACTACTTTTTTAAAACAGTAGTTGTAGTTATAGCGAACTCCATTTGCCTAAAAGTAGCCAAATAGTTGACTACTTTTCAAACAGCGAATCGCTATTCGCTACTTTTTAAAATTGTTAGCAACCGTTCATAGAATAGAATGATATTAAGACACGGTTTGCTTAAAAGATTATTTTATACAGTAAAGATTATTTTAGCGCAATGAAAAGTGGCACTCCTGAACACTGTAGTGCTTACAAAAATGTAGCTTGATGACCCTTTTTGTTTACTGTTGCTACTCGTAAGTCGATTTGTTATAGGTTATATTACAGCATGAGCTAGTGGATGCTCCAAATACCGTAAAACTAAAAAATATAAAATAGCGAAATAGTTCGCTACATTTTTTAAGCAGCAGCTGTAGTCAGTAGCGAACTACTTTTGTTCAAAAGTAGCAGTAGTTGTAGCTGACTACATATTTTTGAAGTAGCTGTAGTTATAGCGAACTACTAAAATTTTGTAGTCAACCCACCCTTGTGTACTGTACACTTGAAGTATCATATTATTTTATGCTTATGGAACTGCCAGTTTTAACCTATTGAGTCGCATTGCACCCTATTTTATTACTTTACTCTGTCTAATGCCAGACAATTTTATTTGTCAAGGGGAGAGCGCTGGTGTTTAATGGGTCATGTGTCTAGTTAACCCATTGAGTATCATGTGTCTAGTTGACCCACTGAGTCGCATTGCACCCTGATGCACCCTACTTTAATATTTTACTCTGCCTTATGCCAGATGATTTTACTCGTCAAGGGGAGAGCGCTGGTGCTTAATGGGTTAAAACAGGGTTAAACTTAACACCCCAAATTGATATGGGACTTGTCAAACTGCCTGGCCCCTAATCTTGAGTTTTTATATCACTTTTCATTGTTAACTGTTTAACTGCTTTTGCACGACGATTTTACTTGTTGAGGAGAAAGTGCGAGAACTCAATGGGTTAATCAGACTATCTGCTCATTTAGCTTGTGTTTCTAATTCACCCTAATTTAGTATTTTACAGTTACTAATGCTAGGCAATTTTAATCGTCAAAGGTTGACACTCAACAGGTTACTGATCATTGTTTTAGATGTGGTTTTGCCGATGAAGTTTTTCCAAGGCATAACTCCAAGTTGTGTAACCAGAAATATTAATTAATGGCAAAGTGAGTTTTTTTAATAATCAAGACTATACTTCACACACGACCAGATGATTTTTTAATCAGATGATTGCCTGTGTTTCTACAGTACATGCAACACATGAAACCAAACACATTTATAGCACAGCTAACCATACAAATTCCCAGTGGCGGACACTAGGTGGGTGGCGTGGTTCTTTACCCCCAAGCCCCTTACTGTCTCTTTTTACCCGATTGCGAAAGTGCAATACCAGCGACAGCACCAACACCGACTATTAAAGCACCGGAGTATGCTAACACTTCTGACCAATTATTTTCATCACGTTCCTGTTGCCTTTTCAGATTTTCTAGTTGCCTTTTTTGATTTTCTTGTAGCCTTTTTTGATTTTCTTGTTGCCTCTTCTGATTTTCTTGTTGCCTTCTCAGATTTTCTTGTTGCCTTTTCTGTTTTTCTTGTTCATGCAAATAATATTTGGTAAAAAAGACAATGAAGAATAAAGCAGCAAAGTAGTATCTCCACGAAATACCGCTCTTTGAAGTAACTGTAACTTTATTTTGTTCACCAAACAATATCTCAGGGAGTCGTTTGCTTCGTAACTTAACTGAATCCCAAGCTAAGTTTGGTACTTGCTCACCGGCTATTGCCTTCATTATAGCGACAGTTTCGTGATCATCCAGAATACCTGTTGGAATAACATGTGTCGCAAATTCACTTTGATTCATCAGCAGAAAGCGGATGGAATAGATCGCATTACCAAGTACCTTTCTGCGGTGCCCTCGTGTTCGTTCCACGTCATTTTTTGAACATTGATGATCAGCCCACTTTAATACAGCTTTAAATAAATCCGTCTCGTTGTAGTAAAGCGTGTTCCTGTTCAGTAATATATTAAGCGTGCTTTGTTTAATATTTAAAAAGTATTCTGAGGCGAAATATTCGTCTGCAAGACCGTCTATTGTGCCCAAACATATTTCAGTAAACGCTTCCGCTTTCAGCTCTAAAATATTCTCGACAAGCTTGAAGACTTTTTGAGATTCTATGCCCATGGTGTGGCTGCAAGCAGAATCGAACAAAACAATTTTGTACTTCATGACCAAACGTAACACCTCGACTTCAAAGTCTGTTGGGCATTCATTTTTGTAAATAAAGCCAAAAAATCCAGCAATGGTTTCGTTATTGTGGTTGGACAAATGAATGGCCTTGATAGGTTTCTCTATATTATTGCTGTAAAACATCTCATAAAACAGCGGGCTGCTAAAAGCCAGTACGTATTTGTGTGCGTAGAACACTTCCCCAAGTTTGTTAGTTCCAAAAGTAAATTTAGTATCACTCATAAAAGAGTTGTTGTACATTCTTGCGACTTCCGAAGGTTTTATTGGCTGCCATTTTGAATTTGAACTCAACGAGTATACGGACTCTGCATTTACAAAATGCGTTGTCCATGTCGCCACTAGCATCAACACAGACGGCCAATTGCTTACAGAAACCATGTCTTATGCTTGAGATTCGATAGTTGTAAATAAAAATATAAAATCGTTGGCTCGTTGATCACTCCGTGACCGTGTATGTATTGAATTAATTTACGTCATAGACTCAAGCTGGCAGGTACCTGTAAATAAATACAACGGTTGAAAAGTCACTATCCGGTGGATAGCGCGCTATTTGGCCTGCGTACAACCGGCCCTGTCTTTACTATTTAACTAGCCATTTTAGCCTGGGAAGCGTTCATTCAACTAGACTATTTAGTATATTTATTTAATTTTCCATGCATAAAAAAAGCTACTTAACTTAAAATATATTACAATAATTTAAAAGATTTTGGGCTAAAGACCTACTACTTACTAGAAATTTTCATAGACTTTTTATTTAGGCCTCTAGTTACTGTTCGTTTGATCATATGATCAATTATTTACAGTCAATCAATACAATATGTAAAATCAGAACGTTTTAAGTATATATATAATAATATATATATATTGTATCCGAAAAATGTTAAAATTGCAACCAGTGGGAAACATATTTGGAAGCTAAAAGTAAAGCTTGGAAGGTACCCTGGTTCCAGAGGTTTATTTTTATTATTTTCATTGCGAAGGGGAGAGGAAAAATAAACCTCTGGTTGAAAGCGGCACTTGGAAGGTTGAAACTGGTTAAAAACTTTTATTTTAAAATGTTAAAATATCAGAAGACGTTTCGGTCAAACAACTGAGACCTTCGTCGGGACTCGGTTCTACTAAAACGTGAAACTACGTCTGTAGTACAGTGACAGTGTGTATAAAAAAACTGAACCTTTCAAATTCAAATTAGCTATAACGTATTGTAGTATTTGACAGCTCTAATTGCTTTGAATTAATGGTTGGGGAAGCCTCACATATCGATTTTTTCCACGAGAAACGTCATATGTTCGTTTGGGGGTGGGGGGGTTGGCAGCTGTGACGTTTCTCTGTAAACATCATGGAAAAAATCGATAGTTTTTATCTTTGCAGAATATAAAAAAGAAAACAATTTGATACAAACAGCAGTCTATATATTCGTAATACCATACCTGTTCTATACCTATACATTTATATTATTACGCCTTCCTTGCATTGAAAACACTCAAATTTCAAGAAAAACGTGCTAAAATTATCAATATTTCATCCAAAAAAGTTGTTTTGAGAAACGTTGGAAATTTTGAAGTTCATATATATATTAATAAAAAAAAGTATGTCAGCAGAAGATGACATATTCCTCGCGGAAGCATCGCCAATAGCCGACCGAAAAAAAATAGTAGAAAATTACCTTATGTGTACTCATACCCTGCGAGCAGAGCTCTGCTCGCAGGGTAGTGTACTCATGGTGTACAGTGTAAGAACAAAATATCGATAAATATGTGTGACGTTTCTAAGAGGGGGGTCTCCAGAGAAACGAACATATGACGTTTCTCATGGACAAAATCGATATGTGAGGCTTCCCTTGGTATAAAGAACACAAGGTCTTGTACTCACGGGACAAAACTCGAAGAAATAAAAATTAGAAAATTTAAAAGAAATACTGTATTTCTTTTAAATTTTCTACTTTTTATTTCTTTGAGTTTTGTCCATGAGTATCCAACCATTACTTCAAAGCAATTAGAGCTGTCAAATCACTACAATACCACAGAATGACAATACGTTATAGCTACTTTGAATTTGAAAGGGTTTGATTTTTTTATACACACTATATATAGGCTACAAAAATTGTAGGTTACAAAAATTAATCCGACCCAATCTCGTTCCCCGAGCCTGCGATCCTCGTGACGGAACGTGAGGCTCTGGGATAATCCGTTTAAGGGAGGAATCTGATTGGCCGTTGATATGGAATGCGCAGTTCGGTCTTAGCCAGGATTCCTGGCTTCCGGTGTCACAGTGATATGAGTATCCCCGTCTTTTGTGTATCCCCTACTAATATCACTAGGGATATGTGTATCCCCATGCTCACCTCACTAGGGATATGTGTATCCCCAGGCCCCAGCAATATGGCGGTCGTGTTCTGCGTATCCCTAAAGAACCACCCTACATTCCCACATCACTAGGGATACAGGTATCCCTAACATTTCGCGGGAAAGTTAACGAAGGTAAGTTTGTTTTAAATATTGATTTTATAATGGCTTTAAAACCCGACGGCCTTTGCGTATATGAAACAACTACACAAGACAGCATATAATTTCAGTGTATCTTTAATATTGATTCGCTTTTTTATGATATTGAGAATTTGAAATCATATTGCAAACTCAAAGTTTATCGATAAAGCCATGTTAAAAGGCAGCTTAGTTTTATAAAGAACACTAGTGGCTTTAAAACGTTTTGCGAAGCGTTTGTGGTTGCATTTTACCTTAAATTGAGGCTTATATTACATATAATAACATACCTAACATATATATGTTGGGAAATTAATAATTTTGTAATTAAAAGTGATATTTTTAGGCGATTTTTCATGACAACTTCTAGTGTTGTAGGTATCCCCACCGGGGGTACTTTTATCCCTAGGGATATTAGTGTGGGGATACTAAAGCCACGGGGATGTTCGTATCACTGTGATACCGGCAACGGATTATCCCAGAGCCTCACGTTCCTTCCGAGGATCGCAGGCTCGGGGAACGAGATTGCATCCGATCTTTATCTGATATACATGCAAACTCTCGCCTTCGGCTCGAGTTTGTATATCAGATAAAGATCGGCTGCTCATGTTTTAACTAGTATACTTAAATTGTTTAAGACAAACGTAAATATCTGGAATGTGATTAGGACCGTAATGTCTGTTAATTAATTGGTAAAACTATGTGAAACAATTGTAAATCTCAGTAGTGACTTAACGATCACATGAATTATATTACGTTAACTGTTATTGAACTACAGTGTGTCTCAAAAGAACTGAACCCTTTCAAATTCAAATTAGCTATAAGTAACGTATTGTAATAATTTGACAGCTCTAATTGCTTTGAATTAATGGTTGGGTAAGAACACAAGGAATACTGTACAGGGTGTCTCAAAAAAAACCAAAATCATTGAAATTGACGTATTGTTCGATATTCAATGCCCTAGCACTAAGTTAATCCCACGAGTGCATAAAAGATTGACATAACTGCTATAATGAATGGTAATATTCAGCGTAAACTTGTTATGTCAGGCATAAAGTACTAAACCCACGAATGCATATTACGCATATTACAATTTACGAAGCATTTTTAAATTCCCATGAGCAAACAAACGTTCACTTTACAAAGATATTTTAATTTTTTGAAACAAATTAATCACCCTGTCAAAATCCTTTGTGTTACGGCATTGAAATTCGAACAATACGTTATTTCAATGATTTTGGGTTTTTTTGAGACACCCTGTATTTCTGTCAAATTTTTTTATTTCTTTGAGTTTTGTCCCATGAGCACAAGACCTTCTGTTCTTATCCAACCATTAATTCAAAGCAATTAGAGCTGTCAAATTACTACAATACGTTACAGCTAATTTGAATTTGAAAGGGTTCACTTTTTTTTTAGACACACTGTATACAAGACAATTGTAAATCTCAGGAATGTCATTGTGATCATTTCCCGCATTGACTTGTCTCAGACTTCGTTTACACGGTACCGGACGAATTTGGAACCGGGCTGAAATTCGGCCGTGTAAACACACGAGAACCGCGGAACCGGACGAATGAATTCGCGTGTAAACAGGCGAGAAAGGACGAATTTCAGACCGGTCCCAAATTCGTCCGGTACCGTGTAATTTGTAAACGGGGTCGTAAGGCACAATTCCAGTCCTCGCACGAAGCTCCTCGCAGCTCGCTGCGAGTGGTTGCATCTAATTAAAATTAACTCTTAGGCATTGTGATTGGATGAAAGTGCCCATGCATGCACTTGCAGCGAGCTACGAGGAGGTTCGTGCGAGGACTGGAATTGCGCTTAGAGAATGCCACGCTTTATAGCGAATATAGTCATGGAACACATTGAAGCGAATATATAATAGCGAATATAGTCATGGAACACATTGAAGAAATAGCCATTACGACAGCCCCACATTCACCGCGTTGGTGGTTTCGCTTCGTAGACGATAGCCACGCATGTTTACTCAAGGACTATGTCAGTGAATTTCACGATCACCTAAACTCCATCGATCCTAATATAATATACGGAAAGCAAACTTGCTTTTCTAGACACTATGACAGCTAGAGACAACACGAACGCTATACAAGTCAGCGTTTATAGGAAACCTACACACACAAATATTTGGATTTTAATTCCCACCAGCCATTAACGTTCTGTCATTAACTCTTTACTCAATCAAGCAGAAAATATACCGACTTCTACCTTGGGAAAAAGAAAGGAACGTAAACATGTTTTCAATGTCTTATGGACAGTGGCTAGACCTGCGTAGCGGTTTTCAGGGAAAGGAGAGCCTGCACGAAATCTACTGTTTTGCCATTCCCGTCCTGACTCGTACCCAGTCCCTCAAATGAGGATTAAACAAAATAATGGTGCATGATGGGAATGGTCAAGTCAGATTCCCGTCCACTTGGCCTGCGGGCTACGCCCACTTTCAACAAATGTCAAAATTGGCCAATCACACACGTTTGCAAATTTACTTGTCAAAATGAAATATTATAGATTGCTTTACGTTTGCAAATTTCAAAACGAAATAATGGGAATAGCGCATAGATATAGGAGATCCAACCTCGTCCCCAGGGTCTTCTTCGTACATGGCGCGTGAAAAATGAGAAGACCCTGGTAAAGGCTGCGAAAATCTCCACGATTCATGGACATTTTAGTGCATGCGCGAAAGCGAATTTGCCTTGGCGCTGACCAATTCATTGCTGGCGTACAAATTTCTCATGGCCTTCTTGAGATGAAATATTTCAGTTTGGAAATGTATTTTTTTGCTAAAATATACCTTTAGATAAGTAATTTCTCTTCAAAAATAAAGATGTCTAGAGAGAGAAAATAACAAGAAGCTAGCCAGTCTAATTTATATCTTCCTGGCCGAAGAATCCGCGTTGTTTGTCATGTCTCACGGCTGCTTGCACTGGCAGTCTGACAGCACTGTCACTGTGAAGGTAATTGAAAAACTACAATATATTATTTTTATTCATATTATAATTCAACAATAATGGCCCTATGACTGGTGCTAATATACCTACAAAGTATTTTTTTAAAGCGCTTAGTTTTGAGAAATTATAATTTGATATAAATGAAAATTTACTAGTGGGCCATCCATAGACTCATCACTAATCCATTTTACACTGTGAACGTTGCACTTGTTCAAGTTATTTTGACTAAAAGTTATCGCATGTTAATAAATACTCTAGTATATAATAATACTGTAACTTATAGTTTATTCCCTTGGAGCATGCAAAGTGCTTACATGTGGAATAATTTGCCTTAGATCCACAGCTCTCACATAGGAGATTAGAACTCCCATAATTCCTTTTACACATCCTAGTACATTTTACTATTCTAAAAGTGCATTTCCCCATCCCCTTTCAGACAGCAGAAATTTCATTTGTATTGCAAGTTTATATTGTGCACTGAATGGTGAATCAGTAAAACTAAAAGATTGCCAACCAGTTTAGAGATAATTTTGTTCAAATGTAACTTATGTCATAAGTATGTTTCTCCCTCAATTAGAATAAATCTACTGTTAATAAATTAATTGGATAGATTTAGTGTAACATATAGATTTAGGTTTCCAGTTTGTGAAATGAAATGCAAATCAATTGCATTATATTTTAGATACTCATGCTTCTCAAACATCAATATGGATAAAACAAGGACTGTCAAGAAGACTGCAACTGTATATGTACAACTTATTGGGGATGGGAGTTGGTCTACACATATAGGAATGTTGATAATATTAATGAGATTATTAAGAAAACCACAAAGTCGACAACTATCCTAGATTCCATAATATTAGGAAGCTGGCTTAACTATACTTAATATTCTGGTAATACTCAAGAAAGTGACATGGCAATTCAACAATGCATATACAACAGAAAGAGATATTTCCATACCAAGACAATTCTTACTGAATTAGTATTTAGCTGATATTTCATTTTTTACAGTATTTAAAGTTATATACAGTGCTGTTTAAGTTAAAATATAACAAAGTTACTTGGTTCAAAATCTGGTCTTTGTTTTTCCTTCTCTGTACTATGCAAGGGTAGAGAAAAGAGGTGGTAATATGCATCCTCACATGCGGCTGTAGGAACTCTCACTCATATGGAAAACGAATTGGATCATTCCAGAAAAGATCCATACTCCCCCCACGGAGGAAATTTCTGCCGTCCGGAGGGGGAGGGGAGAAAAAATTGTTTCTGATAATAGTAAATGTATTAGGACATCCAAAGGGGGTTAACTTCCTATTTCCTCTGTGGGGGTGGTATGGATGTTTTCTGGAATGACCTATTCTCAGTCATTTCAAAAAGTAAGCCTTGGAGCTTTTTGGAAATTGATTTCATTCATGCTTCAACAACCGATCTCCTGCATGTACATCATTGCAAAATGTGCAGCCAGCCTGCAATGTCCAAACCACAGTTCTCCACAACATTTGTTCTCATTGAGCTGTCCATTGATGAGGAAGTGTAGTGTGGAGACAAACAATTTTGATTTGGCTGCATTTATTTGAACACTTGCTTTATTATATGTACATCCCTCACTGATTCAATAGTTGCTAATGTAAATTTGTACTAGCTCTGCAGGACAGATGTGTTCAATTTTTCCTATACGGTATGGAATAAAGATCATGCTGTTAGTGTTACATGCATGCAAATGGTAATTCACAATGATGTAAAGGCTAATGAAATTCAATTATGGGTTGTCCATAACTACCAACATTTCCTGAAGTGTAGAAACTATACGCTTCAGGTAGGCAGGTTCATAATACGATTTTTAAATGTTGAACTATAGACCCACCATCATCGGTTAAGTCGCTGTGGGAGGGGGTTGAAAAGTGTACTCTCTGTACACCTATGATAATTATGGATGATTTACAGTGTAACACTAATGCTAGATTTAACTGAAAATAATTTTATAGTTATGTTGAATATATTTGAAATGTTCCATTTGTGGAGGTCAGTGGCATATATTCTTGTGGAAAATTCAAGTAGCTGTGCTCCAGCAGCTAGCTGCAGTGCCACAAATTATTGACATAACCAAAATTTTAATATTGCATGGGATCTTTATAGATTCGCTTTTATATATTTCCTGGTGACCTATGAGCCCAGCAAGAACTGCTTACTTTATTATTATAATTTAAACATGTATCAATTAAGCTATACAAACAGCAATCGTTCTGTGCGTCTATTTCTGCTATAAAAATGTATATTCAGCCGAGACTGATATTAAACTGTCACTTGAAGCAGACAAGAGGTGTTCGTATTAAACAAGTGGTAGTATTTGAGAGAAACTAGAACGTCACAAACGCAGCTGGTTCTGTGGTTTGTTTGATCATACAGTGTGTGTGTATATTTCATACCTTCGATAACGATGTGAACATCAGCTGTCTCAACTTTGAAGTACCAAAATGATGTCTATATTTATTCACACTACGATGTCCATTATATATTGTGCCTGATATTAGGCTGAAAGTTGGAAAATATTTGCCAGAAACAAGCTTCGCGCCTTGGCGAAGCATGCATTTTACTCTAAAGCAAATTATTGTTGTGAAAATCCTTATAAATCATGCAACCAATCGTAGCGCTCATTACAAGAAGTATTTAGCGGTAAACCAATCATGTTTATTGTAACAACATCCTCAAAGCACATGTCAAGGTCAAATGTATAAACCAATCACAACGGAGTTTAGAAGAGCCTTTACCAGGGTCTTCTCATTTTTCACGCGCCATGTACGAAGAAGACCCTGGGGACGAGGTTGTAGGAGATCTAGATTGCTAACGCATACCTAGCGCAGGCTACATGATAAATCCAAGATGGCGGTACAACAGGGCAAAAAGACTATAGATTCTATTACGAAAAAAATCAGGATTTTTGCATTTTTATTTTTGCCGCCGCATTGTTTCGAAACTCATTCGGTCAAATTTTATGGTAAAGAGAAACTTACCGCGAAGATTTTGAGCATATATATGATTGAATTGGATAAAAACTCGCAAAATTATCCATCGACAAAAGTTCGTGTATAGTACTGATATAGTACTATATATGTAACTTGTACAGTTTTGCTTTAATTTTTGCTCATTATTTGCATAAAAAGCAAATTATAACAGACCATAGATGATAGACCCTCATCCAGTGCTCTCATTAGTTTACTTCTCTAACAAGCAAGGAGGGGGGGGGGGTACATAACAGTTCATTTTTCATAATTATGAGGACAGAGCAGATGATGATGAGAGATGCAAGTATAAAACACCATTCGCAAGGCTAGATATTAACATAGCACAGTATTTCTGGCAATAAAACGCTCCAACTGACCAATTGACTGATAATTTTGCGATTTTTCATCCAATTCAATCATATATATGCTCAAAATCTTCGCGGTAAGTTTCTCTTTACCATAAAATTTGACCGAATAAGTTTCGAAACAATGCGGCGGCAAAAATAAAAATGCAAAAATCCTGATTTTCGTAATAGAATCTATAGTCTTTTTGCCCTGTTGTACCGCCATCTTGGATTTATCATGTAGGCTCCACCTGCGCTAGGTATGCGTTAGCAATCTAGATCTCCTATATCTATGGAATAGCGCTAGAGCTGTCTCCATCGTCGTCACAAGTAGTTTGCAGTCCGTGTGCGAGAAAGCTGCGAAATCTCGTGGATACGTACAAATTAATTAGTTTCGACAACGATCAACCGTGATGTAAATAACTACAAAATGTCAAAGTTTCTAGCGATGCAGGGAAGAGAAAGGTGTCTGAAGCCGTCACTCCAGAGAGAGCAAGTCCTGTTCGTAAGCATCCACAGCAATTCTCTCGTGGTACAAAATTATTAGCAACAAAATCATCAAGAAAAAATCTATTTGTCGTCGATGAAAACGAACACGCTTGTGAAAGAGACGCGGCTAACAGACAGCAATCCAATCGGAAGATACCACAATCACTATCTCTAGGGCTTCATGAACAAAATTCTTCAACACCTTTTTTGTTCATCTTTAATTGTGAATCGTGGCCTTCAGCTGTTTTGAATGCAAAACTCAAGAAACACCTCTCAAATGCATCCGCCGTGTTTGTTCACAATCAAGCTATCGATCAATGATGATTTTAGCATAAATTAGCATATTTTTTATTTTAAACCAATACGATTTCTCGTTCTCTGGGAGAACGAGTAAAAACGGCAAAGCATGGGGTTTCGTGCAGGCTCTCTTTTCCCTTAGAGCCGCTACGCAGGCTACAGAAGCGTCTGATAAAATTTAACCAAGATCAGTTGACCGTACGTGAGACGAGGAGAGATGCAAAAAAAATCAAAAAGATATTCGTACAAGTAATTGAAAAAGTCCCCCCCCCCCCCATCACTTTTCTAATGGTCCGCCCCTTACTTTGCTCCTGGGATTTGAAAATACATTCAAATTAACCGCGTTGATAGAAATTAGAATAACACAACGTTATTTGTTAAATTCAGAAAACCAATTAGGGGGGGGGGGGTGATTTACTGCTGGCAGGGAATTTTTTTCTGGGATCATTATATGCAAGATTTTCTAGTTGGCAAGTTTGTATCAGCCTGTATCACTGCAGCTACCAGCATATATATGCATGGTTTAACTAATAAGTATACGTCATAGGGCAGCAAATCAGGCCATAATTAGGATTCTGAGACAACCGAGTCGACAACCGAAGGTACGAGCCTCTAGTTGGGTCTGGGGTCATGCCCCTCCCCCCCCCCCAGACAATTTTGGATTTCTTGAAGCTCAGATAAGCTATGTCCAAGTTATTTTGAGTTTTCCAACAAGAAATTAACCTTACACTAGTCCCTGAAAATCAAACCAGCTGATCTTCTGGGACTGGTCAAATTGATCCCTGCAACCATGATTTTTTCCCCCATTTTGTTAGTGCAGGTATTGTTTTTGTTCAGAATAGCCTTGCAGTTTTTTTTCAAAATCACCTCCCCCCCTCAAAAGTTAAATTGGTCGGCCCCTTATCAGTTTGGCTGCGAATGCCCAACTATTGTGTTTACGCACGCTTGGGATCAATTAGTTCTGAATCATGCAAATTCTAAAAACATTGTATTTCAAAGGGTTTGCAGGGTTTTTTATACACCCTGTAGAGATCGCAGAAAAACTTGTAAGTGTACGCGGACATTTCAATCTTTATACAGTATCAATTTTGTTTGTTTACAATAATTAAAGTGAGCCTTTCTCACGAAGGCCAAAATCCACCATTTTTGGAGTACTGTCTCCCCTCGTGAAAGATTGTAGACAACTCAAACAACGTGAAAAGCGACTTTTAAAAGTTGTAACTGTAAATTTACCATTATACAAAGAATTATAATACTAAAAAGTCGCATTTTGTGGTGCGGTGATTCTCAAACGTGGGGGAGGCAGTACCCCCAAAATGGCGGGAAAATCGGCCGTGAGAAGGCAGTGACCGTGCATGAGAAAGGCTAATTCATTGTCTTTTGAAGGGAAGGGAAGTTGGCCACCTTTCATTGATCATAACTTCAGCTTGTTGAAACTTGTGTATTCTAGGATAAATTGTTTGATGCATCAACAGTAACACGTTTATTGAAATAACAGAAAGAATAGCTGAATAGGATATGTTATGATTGGTTAGTCACAGTTGACGGAGAAAGGTCTAGTACATATTGCCTTGGCATTAATATTAAGCCATTATCTTCAATACAGGGTAAATTTATTCAGTTTAATTATTATGGAAACTTATTACACAACTTACTATAGAATCATTAGAGAAATTGTCAAATGAAGATAGCACTAAAATTTTAGCAATTATTTTGCAGGACAAAATGTAGTGTTTTCAACATAACGTGATGTGTGCTTTGGAACACCTGCAGTTTAGCAGACACCAGCTGTGTGGCATAGTACAAAACATGGACTGGACCCATGGACTGGACCCAAAATTGGACCCAAAATTGGACTCAAAATTGGACCCAAAATTGGACTCAAATTTGGACTCAAAATTGGACTCAAAATTTTAGCCAAAATTTTGCCCAAAAATCCATTATTTTTTCGGAGAGGAACAACCCTCAGAATATCGTGCTTTGATTTATTTGTATAGGCAAAAAACTTCACGTTCCATCACTATCTAGATAGTAAATACGTTTATCTAGGTATAGTAACTAACTCTTTGCATTTTGCTGCCAAAAGCCCGCAGTCTTCATGACTACTCTCAGCCAAACATTGGTTGCGCGCTGAACTGCAGTCTAGCCTATGCATGCCTTTTAGTTGCATGCCTTTAGTTTTACTTTTATAACATAATCAAACCATGCAGCCAGCATATGTAATGTATCCTCATGGTTTGTAGCCTGCTCGCAGCACGAAATTTCGTTCAAAGGAAAACCGGAAATTTGGTTTCCGCTTCAAATTTTCGGATGGGGCCTGCTGAGCAGGCTACATGCATGTTTTGCGTATTATAGGGATATTGTAATTGGGGTCAACTGTAGATGTGTCTTTCCTTTCGGAGATAAATCGGCTCGTTTGTTTGTTGTACTAGGCTTCAAACTGAAATGTAAAAACAATTTTATGTCTAAGGATTCTTGGAGAAAAGAATGCGGGTAGACAGACATTTATTTGTAATGGACTTATCGTCGCTTTAACCGGCCATATTGGCATATACAGCTTTTTCAACTTGTAAGGTTGTCCACGAGCGAAGCGGAAAAGTCGAATAGGAGCGCGAATGGCTGCTGGGAATCGCTAACAAATTAATGAATTTTCAAAGCGATTCCCAGCAGCCTTTCGCGCTCGTATTCGACTTTTCCACTTTACTCGTGGACAACCTTAATTGAAATAGCTGTATACTAGAAAGGGTTAGGCTTCATCTTGTATGCATGAAAATCATAATTAATCTGATTGTTTAATGGTTCCTTATTCCTTAACGGTAGTAGGAGTCAAATCTGAACCTCTCTAGTTTGACTTTAACTTTCTATACCAGTCAGAGCCGTGCCGATCTGCAACAACTATAACAATTATAATACAAAAAAGAATACCCATGCAGATCATGAGATCAGTAATGAAAGGAATTAAACATTCGAAGAAAATGAACTCAAACCATGTGAACCAACTATTCTTCTTTGTAGTGGCTGTAAAGGCCGCAGGAAGCCGTTTGCTTTTTAGCTTAACAGCCTCCCAGGCTAAGTTAGGCACATGCTCACCCGTCATCGCCTTTATTATCGCGACAGTTTCATTATCGTGTAAAATATTTGTTGGCATAACATGTGTCGTAAATTCAGTTTGATTCATAAGCAGAAAACGGATGGAATATATTGCATTACCAAGTACCTTTCTGCGGTTTCCCCCGGATTTTTCTAAATTCTGTTCTGAACATTGATAATCAGCCCACTTCAAAACAGCCTCAAATATATCCGTCTCGTTATAGTAAAGCGTGTCCCTGATCAGTAATATATTCAGCGTGCTCTGCTTAATATTTAAGAAGTACTTCGAAACGAAATACTGGTCTGCAAGAGCGTCTATTATACCCAAACATATCTCGGCTAGCGCTTCCGCTTTCACGTCTAAAAATTTCTCCACAAATGTATAGGCTTTTACAGGTTCCATGTTCCGCTGGAGGAAATTTCTGCATGCAGTATGAAATCTAAAAATTTTGTACTTTATCATCAATTGCAGTACTTCAAAATCTTTCTCAATGTCCGTTGGGCAATCGTCTTTGTAAATAAAGCCAAAAAATCCAGCAAGAGTTTCTTTGTTATGGTCAGACAGATGAATAGTCTTGATAGCATTCTCTGACTCTGTATTGCTGTAAAAGTCACTGTAAAACATATCGTAAAACAGCGGGCTGCTTATAGCCAACACATATTTGTGTGCGTAGAATAATTCACCAGGCTTTTTATCTCCAAAAGTAAATTTAATATCACTCATAAAAGAGTCATTGTACATTCTTTCGACTTCCGAAGGTTTTACTTCTTTCCATTTTGTATTTGAACTCTCCGAGTATTCGGACTCTGCATTTGCCAAAAATATTGTGCTTGTCGTGACTAGCATCAGTACAAACGACCGATTGCTCACAAAACCCATGATGTCTGCTTGAGATTCGAATGTTCAATTATAAATAAAATTGTTGGCGAATTTTTATGTATGCAGTCTTTCGATATCGGGATCCGGAACTGGCGGAAGTATCATATTTCGGTTTTCAGGGAATCCAGTTTAAATTCCACATAAAAGGCATGTTTGCACTTGTAATTTTTGCACTTGTAATTTTTGCTGTAATTTTAGATGAGGTATGAATGTTCAGGCGGATGAAGGTACATACTGTACACACTCAGAATATGCATAACTCATCTACTCGACACATCCGTCCGAAGAACGAAATCGCACTAAAAGTAAAAATTGCAGCAAGAATTGTAAGTCTAAACGGACCTTAAGATTTATACAAATTACTCTATCACAATTTTCTGTCTATTTTAGATGATCTGCCTCAAAAAGTTCTGGAAAATATCAAAGATTATTTTAAAGATAAAGCGTTTGCCCCATTGGAACTCAGGATGCCACCATATTGCCTGGCGATGTTCTGTCAGGCGAGATAAGGTGACTAAATACTTATGTCTCGTTTGCCGAGGATTGTTTTAAATGGCTTCAAACACAAGCATTGTTTATTTCTACAGTAGTACGAACATGTTTTGTTGGTCTTTGAGATAAGCATTCCAGTTAATGAGACGAGAACTCCTTTATTGGTTCATTAATACCCGCTGGACGGGGGAAAGCTTTTTCGAGTGGAAGGACAGATCAGGTATGACAGTCAAGCCGGGTTTTGACAATTAGTCATGAGGTTCAGCAAGTTGACCCACCATTGACGAAACATTGGCCCACGATCGCCTACACACGTAAAAACGCGCAATTTGTTACAGATCTGCAAACAAGTTGTAACAAGGTTGGTATCAAGCCGATATCACGATGTGTTCGCACTGCTTCCTGGCAGTTGTTGTAACAAGTCTGGAACAAGTTGTTATCACCTTGTTACAAGGTTGACGACAGTAACAGACCTGCTGCAAGTTGATCCAACTCGAGATTAATACAACCTGTTTGTAACAAGTTGCTAGCTACGGGCTTGCATGTTGTCATCAATTTGTTATAACTTATTGCGAGATGATGTTAGACTTATTGGGACAACTTGTTGGCGAGTCTGTTGGCCTCATCAACCTTGTTATTTGATGACAACAACTTGTTCCAGAAATGTCAACAACTGCAGGGAGTATATATTTGTTTGTGTATATTTGGTTGTTTCGAGGTAACGAGGCACTGAAGGATTGTCAAACAAATTTTCTAAATAATAATAGTCTATCGTTTTATCATGGTTGTTAAAACACTTATTTAAAGCTTATTTACAACACCAATCAGTCAGATTCTTTTAATTATTAGGGGGTGCCGGGTGGGCATGCAGTCTGTTTCATCCGTATAGGATGATTCCTATACGGATGAAACAGACTGTTGTGGTTTTTTGAGGTAAAACGAAAAACTATATTACGCTCTATCTATATGGTATTGAGCACTGTTTGTGTTTCGTAAACCAAAATCTTAAGCTATACACACACACATATATATATATATATATATATATATATATATATATATATATATATATATATATATATATATATATATATATATATATATATATATATATATCTTTCCTTGAAGGGCGCTACAATGTCTTTACTTATGTGCTTTATCGCCGTTTTTAAACTGTGAAATGCAGTGAGCGTGCGCATATATATATATATATATATATATATAT